ACATAAAGACACAAGAAGGTAACAAAATATTAATTTCGAACTTGAGAATTAACTTACAGATATTACTTTATCGCCGACTAACAATTTACCATCTTTCTGTGCTACACCACCGTCAGTTATTCTTGAAATGTATATTGCCTGAAAATCGTATTATAAAATTAAGAATATTAAAGGTACACGTGGACAATAATTTGACCAATTTCCTATCTTACATCGCTGTTGTCCTTAATCGGCGGAGAACCTTCCCCACCAGCAATACTAAATCCAAGTCCATTTTGGTCCCGTATTAACGTTGTATGAACAAGAACCGACACCATTGGCTCGCTACCTGCTTTGACCGAGGATATGGGTTCCGGAATTTTCTTGGACTAGTTAAAGAAATAAATGATTTTCCAAATGTTACGTTTGTAAGGAAAATTGAAGCACTGACATTTGTGTATCAGCCAAGTAACATATACCTTGATTCCATCGTGAGGTAAAGAAGCGTCTCCATTTTCTAAATTATGAGGTAAACCTGTAGATGAAACGTGAGACGTTGCACTTGGTGCCCTACTTGTACTCAGACTAGAGCACACCGAGTCTTTCCTCGACGACGTCTGGAAAATATCGTAACAAATGTGAAATATATTATATGAAATATAGATTATATAAAATGGTACCTGTTCATATGGCGGTACTATCCTTGTCACTTCTCTTTGAACTACTAGTACAAGAACATTTCCACATGCTTTTAGAACTTCTACAGCGTCATAGTGGCCTACGTTCACTACTGAAACTCCATTTACAGATAACACTTTATCCTCTACTTCCAAACCTGCTAAATCTGCGGGTCCACCTATAAAGTTCAATTGTGTTCGTGTAAAAATTCTAAACGAAATGGAATTAATTTAAGTTAAACTACTTTAACACATTGCACGCCGGTCCCACGATAATGCAGGATTTTTTTACAAGCGAGGCCGGCATTCAGGCTTTCAGCGACTGATATTTAACCGGCGCGTAATGCGTTAAATAATTCTTCTTTAACGGTTTATATATCATTAATAACATTACCTTCGGTAACTCTGGAAATAAAAATGCCTTCGTCCTCACCCTTGAAAGGTGTTGACCCGATACCACCGGCAATCGACAAGCCAAGACCGCCTGTTGTTCTCTCAATATGAATTTCATACTGCTCTTCTCGTACTTCTATCGTAGGTTCAGCATCAGATGTCGCACCTATGCAATCATAAATACAGTTTATTAGAATATACATGGACTGTGCCACTATCGTTTCAGTAAAATATGCACCGTGAATGTTTCTTTTTCTTATATAACATCTGTACTTCTTGGGCGTTTTCATTATAGTTTTCATCGACATGATAGTATCACCGGTATTTTTTTCCTGAACGCATTCACTGAACAATTTTCTGTTCGCACGAGTAGATTCGCTACAGCGAAGTAGATTGAGAATTGGATAAAAGATAAGATAGTCGATAAAAAAGAAGAATATCTTATCACGGAATGTCTGTTTGCTGTCAGTGATTAAGAGACGATAGCGTTAGTCTGGAAGCGTTCGTCATTCGATGCAGTTTGCGGGGAAAGGATACATGGAGGAATATTTCAGTGACATTTTACAAAGGTATTTAAAGCGTTTAAAAAAATCTACAAATCTGTTTCATAATAAACACAATTATGTTACCTTGACTATGTGTATCATAAGTTTCTGTAGATTCTGTGGGTGCAGGTATGGGTGCGGGTGTGTCATCGCCCTTCTTCATAAGTGCCTGTATATCATTAAAAACTTTATAAAATTTGATTTAAGTAATTAGATGAAGTGTACCGTTATCGCTGTTCGTAATTAATTAAAATTTATGTTCCAGATAGATAAGAAAATTACCTGCGCAATAATGGAGGCTACTTTATCTTTATCCACGGCTGCATGTATGCGTTTATTTTTCAAGTGGTGCGGAGTGTCTCTACGATGAAGTCTATTTGGTCTGTTCGAGTCGCCGCCAGCTTCGTACTCGGTTCCCTCGACTATAGAAAATTCTACGTGTCTCTGTGTCTCTTCGTTTTCAGATTCGTCATCTTCCTTATCGTTCCTGTCCTTCGATTCCGTCACTGAGCCGTCAGCTCTCATTTCCTGCGGAGAGATCACTTGTACAATTAATAAATTAATAAACCATCGTTAATACAAGTACTCACAACATTTGAATCTGTAACGTATTGATTGGAAATCACTTCTGACTCAACGTTCGTCTGAAAGTCTCCATTGTCGACCAATGCTCCAGGTACGGTTTGCTTTTGTTCGTTTTCAACGAATTCGGATTTCGGCGGTTCCTGTTCTGAACTATCTAGCTCTATATCGTTCGATTTTGTAGTTATATCAGTCTCAGTTTTATCTAAACCAAACGTCTGAGATACATCCTGAAAGAATATCATCATTTTCCGTGTTACTTTGAGAAGAATACCAAAAATAAAGTTGCCTTTCGATACGAATAATTTAGAACGACGATTACCTGCTCATCCGTAGACGCTGACCGACTGTCACTTTTGCCTTTACTGAATAGTTTATGAGCTTTGGCTTTCAGTTCTTTTGGATGTGGCGTATTTTGCCGTACGAACGGTGTCTGAAATAACCACAACAAACTCTTGCGCAAATGTGTCATTCGAAAAAGAAAGATATGTGGTTTAGGGAAGAATAAGACACTTTCGTTTTATTTTCAGTTAATGTAATTTTCATACAATGAGTCATAAGAGTAAGCACGTCTCCAGCACATGAGATACTTTGATAGCGTTTGAAACTTGGATCTAATAAAGCTACGAGCGTTTACTAGGAGCTTTCTCACCTCCTTATCGGTTTCTGGGGCTTCATCTGAGAATTTTACAGAATGCGTTCGTGATTCTTCCTTCTCTTGCCACCCCTCGTCGTCGCTGCTGCCGAGTTCACGGATTTCACCGCCCTGAATGGCATTTCTCATTCCGACCATCATGCCCATTCTTCCGGAGTCTGAGGAGAAAATTATGTTAAACGCGTACGACCGTAACAAGAAAATACGAGCACACTAACCATCAGGATGAACTTCCAGCTGTGGCAAAAGGAAACACGTCAGCACTTGCTGTTCCGTTTCCTCGTCAATATCCGTTTGAAACGTGAACATCGGCTGAGCTTGATTCTCGCTTAACCATACTGCCTTTAAGTTCAAGTTGATCAAGGAATATGGCAAGTATTGTAATCTGCAAGAAAGCAAAACTCAAATTTAATAATTCCGCTTTAGAACCAACGATCACGATAATCGAGAATCAATAATCGCATACCTGTTACCAGATACGTCCAAGACATGCAGGGCTGTACAGTTTCCAACTTCGGTCGGAAGATATTGCAATTTGTTATCCCTTAAAAATAGCACTCCCAATTTTTTCAAATTCCCTAAGAAGAATACAATCACGTGTTCCAATTAGTGTCGCATTTAAACCTACCGGGATCTGTCGTTTATCAAACATTCCTTACCAATTTCAGTGGGCAACGACTGTAAACTATTTCTATCCACATTTAAATTATTTAGATTAAGAAGTTTCCCTATAGTTACAGGCAGTTCTAAGAGAAAATTTTCCGTGAGAATCAACTCTTGCAAATTCTCACACCTGAGGAGAAACAACAAGCCAACGGTTAACTGCCGCTTTTATTTCCCGATCCTAACACGGTTTTCATACGAAAGACGACATTCGTGTCTCACCTGCCTATATTTGAATTTAAAGTAGATAGCCTATTCTGATCGACCTTGAGAATGGTGAGCTTTTTAAGCTGCCCCAGTCCGTCGGGTAACTTCTCGATAACATTCTGAGACAAATGCAGATCCGTTAACGACTCGAGACCGCCGATCTCCTCGGGCAGATCTTCCAGGCGGTTCTCCGAAACGTCCAAGCATGCTAACGTTTTCAATTCCCCGATCTCCGACGGCAAATGCTGCAACTGATTATGGTCCAACCATAATTCCTGCAACGCTGGCAATGTCCCTATGTGTGCTGGCTGAAATGAAAACAGAAGGATTTTCAGTGACAACGTCGCCGCCATTTCCTTTCTAGGAATTGCATTATACGTTTAACCCATTGCACTCTGTAGACGTCGCTATTGCGCCACTTAGCATCGTCGCTCCAGCGCCACGCGTCGGGATTTATTTCACGCGGCATTGATAACATTAACATCTTTTCCTTAGCGAGACGGAATTAACATATGCTTAGAAAACTCGGAGTTCCTACTCTCATAGAAAAAAAAAGAAAATACTCGGAGTGCAAACGGTTGAGATGAAACTTCAGACTCGTACCAATTCCTCGATGTCGTTGTCGCCAAGATCCAGTCGCTCCAATTTGTAAAGCTGCGAGAGCGACTCCGGCAAGGATTTGAGCATGTTCTCCCTCAGCTCCAGGGACTGCAACGCCTCCAAACTGCGAACAAGAAACCGGCAACGGGGGCTCGTCAGCGTCGTAACAGTCGGAATTCAATTAAACAATTGAAACGTAATTATAGGAACGTTACCATCCGATGTCGGGCGGCAGATTCGTAAGGGACATGTCGTTCAGTCCTAGAACGGTTAAATTCCTTAATTGCACGAAACCCGCGGGAAGCCTGCAAGCAATACAGAAAAAAGGGCACCTCGTGAAACCGTCATTTGAAATCGTCGGCCGTGCACGTGACACGGGCGAGCAATAAAAGGGAAATTTACGGACCTCGGGATTGGATTGCTGCTGAAGTCCGCCACCTGAAGTGCCCGTAAATTCTTGATGTTCTCAGGAATGTCTGGTATATCTGCAGTAAAAACGAATGAATAATTTCCACTGATTTTCCGTCGAACAGGAACACGCTCGACGTGCAAACGAGTCGGGGGAAGGATCCGCGGTGCAAAAACCAAATAAGCGTGCGGCCTGTATTGCCGCAGGGGATCGTCGACTTCCGGTTACCTGAACTTTATCGGGACGAAAGATAAATCGCCGGGGAAACGTTTTTCAAACGGTCTTCTACTTAATGTTTACGATTCATCTGTGGAACGCGTTCCCGGGTATTAAGATTACAACGTAATGGCAACCGCTGGACCGTGGATCTTTCTGCGAAGTTAAATTCTTCGGGATACGCTTGGAAAAATTAATTGGAATTACGATGGAAAATCGTTTTCTCTAACGGGTATTGTAAAGGGTGGTACACTTTAGATGATGCAGAGCGTAATATAGATATTTCGTGTTCGTAGAGATCGGCAAAATGGAAATGACGCATCGAAAACCCATCGAACGCCCTCGTGGACCGAATCGACCGGCTATTTTAGCAATGATTAAGCATGTGGAATTCTTATCGTGCAATTCCGCCGAGTTATGCGCCGCCCTAATCGCGGGTTCTCGCGCTCGAAAACGCCTCCCTCCCGCCGCCAGGCTTTATTCATTAAATTCCTGAGCCTTACGGGGAACAGAGGGAATGCGGTGTGATCTCACACAACAGCGAGCGTCCCGCATTCTTATGCAACAGCGGTGTTTAGCCGGGCATTTTTCTCGAAACCATTTGTCATCTGTTGCCAGCGACAACGTGGTTTCCTGTAATGAGTTAATCGGCGGTGTGTCATTACGCGGTTAATTACGCAACCAGAGGGGGTGTCGATTGGACGAGTCGAGCATCACTTCCGGTCCGTTCGCTCGGCGCTCGAGCGAGCTGATCGATCTCGTCCTCGCTTAGACGAACGAGTGAAAACTTGTGAATCATGACAACGAGTGAATCATTGACAAACGAAATTGGTGAATATATATCCTCGCACGAGATCCTGTCGAGTTTCTGAACTCACTGCGAGCGGTTAAACAAAATGAGATGTTCAGGTAGGATTCGGGATGAAATTAGGCAGGATACAAGAATTTTGATGGGATTTAGAGTTTAGACAGAGTCTGGGTAGAGTCTAAAATGAATTCGAGAAACGAGGAGGGGATTGAGAAGAGTTCGGGAAGAGACGAAGGATCCAAGGAAAGTTCAAGGTTCGAGAAAAGGTCCCCGAGGATCTAGACGGAATAGGGCAACGATTCTAAATCCACAGGTTTCCACGGGAAACTATCACGAAGAGGAGCGCCGGAGCTCGTGCACTGCTAGCCTAAATACAAGGTATCTAATGTGAAAGTATCGAATCGGCGGCACGCTTATCGATCGACGAAACTCCGTTCGCACACCTCGAGGAAGCGGTAAAGGGGACGCCATCTAATGATTCCGAGGCGAAGATATCCGATCGAACGATACGCGGACAACGAACAGAGACGCGGCCGTCTGCACGGACGTCTGTAGGCGTCGGTGTCGCGGATATTTTTAATGCGTGCCGACTGCGAGCGAATTCGAAGATCGGTTTCGCGGTGGCGCAGGCGTGGCCGCCGCCGACGCGACGCGGCGCGGACCGCACCGATCGTTGCTTTTTCTCTTTTCAAGTGCGTTTACATGCACGCGATACACAATGATTGATTCAAAGTATATCGAGGTCAGCTTATAAAAGATGCCCGGCCAGAGAATGTGTTACGCGGAGAGGAAACCGCGGGAGCTAAATAGCCGTTCCCAGCTCGAGCCGCGCCGCACTGGGAACAGCGTCGGGTAATAAAGCGCGTTTTTCGTGGAAACCTTACGTTTCCAGGCTGAAACCAAGTTAGAGGCAAGTTCCCGCCCAGTCGATTCGATGGAAGTCCGCCGAACCTGCTTACCCTAACTTCCACCTAAACGATCCTCTCGATGGACAGTCAACTTCGTTTCCCTTCCGCGAGTCGAACGAGCTTTCCTCGCGAACGTTACGTGATCCCGTTGCAAATGAAACGATATAACACTGGAGCAGTCTAAACTGGTCCATCACGGTGACCTTTAACTTTAGCCTTCCGCCCTCGGGTAACTGAATAACGTAACTCTCCGTCGCTCGATTCGATTCGAATTCTTTTATACCGATCATCGTACGATGCATCGATGCGAGAAACATTTCTCCGCTTCTCGTTACTTTTAAAGAATATCGGTGTGTCTCGCCGGGAAATCTTGAATGTTCCCAGCGAAAAGCTTTCGAGCGCGATGTAATTTCTCCGGGGTATTCGGTCGCGAGCACAAGGGTTGGATAATGTTTCTTCGGGGTTCGGAAAATCGCTCGAACCGCGGTAGGAGAGCGCTTTCTGCGAGCGGCGGACGTCGGGTTCCGTTCGCCGGGAACTCGAGTGCGTGTTCACGTATCGGTGAACGCGTTTCCCACCCCCGTCGCGCGCGGCCGCCGCAGCCACCCCAGCCACCGGCCGGCCGCCGTCCCTCCCCGTCCCCCAAGGCAAATTGCAAAGGCCGAGGGTGGATGTTTCGCGCTATTTATAATGTTTACGGTGGCGGACGCGCTCCGACGTCGAACAGGTGCTATTTTGTGTTATTTACCGGTTGCTTAATTACTGGCTACCACGGCCGGTCGTGGGCGTGCGGTAATCGACCGCGATTCCCCGCGCGGCCACGGAAAATCGGACCGTCCGACGGGCGCACGCAGATGTCGGAGGCGGAATTACGGGTAGAAAGAGAAAAAAAACGAAGGGCGTGACCGACGAATTATTGCGGGGGTGCGGTAGGAAACGATTTTGCAATAAACGAGCGTAATTCTTCCGCGAACCGCTCGTTTGCCTCCCTCCCCCGTGCCGCCTCTGTCGTCGTTCCGACGAGGGGGAGTGTCGTTAACGTTACACCCATTGTTACTGAAACATAGAGTAGCCGGCCAGGACTATTTCCAAGGGAACGCTTCAATCTAAAAGCGTTGAATCCCGTTTCGGTTCGCGTAGAACGCGTAAACATCGGTTTTATTTCACTTTAGTGTGGCGGCGAGCTGCTATGGGGAATACTGGAGAAGAGCGACTGATGTAACACGCCTAATAGCTCGCGAGTATAATTAAACTCGAGCACGATTCTATTGTGACCGTTTCGTCTTTACGGGCAACAGAAACGTGAAAACCGTCTCTTTTCGAGTTGATTATCAACGGTAACTCAACGCTTAAAGAGAACAGTTGTAAAAGAAACCGTAAAGCGAGAGATCGAAGGAGATAAAGGAGATGCTTGTCGCGACTGCTCCGTTCGTTCTCCAGCTCGCAAAGTGTTAAATGCTTTCGTGAACAGATGAAAAAGAGTGGGAGGCGCGCGGTAATTGTAAAAAACAAACGGCCGACGTTTGTCGCGAGCGTTCCGCGAGTTACTCGCGCGTCGTAAAGTATTCGCGGGAGTTGACGTGATCAGAAGGTAGAATGGAATCGGGCAAACAGCCTTCAAAGCCGAAGCTCGAGCGACGTGTAATTTTATGCCGCGTAAACCGCGCCGGGATATTCGCTTCTCTGCGGTTCGTCCGCGGCGGACACGCAACAGGGGGCAGGTGGAATAATACGCGGCGAGGGTAAAAGATTACCGTGCGCGCACATACGGTTCTCCTTACGTAACACGCGTGTCCGCGAGCTCTCTCTGTCTCTCTCTCTTTCGTTGATCGATCTGACCGTTCCTTCGATTCGTCGCCTGTAATATTAACCCGAATATATTTATTTATCTCTCACCACGGCCAATTATAGTCGCGCGCGATACGGATTTATCGCGGCGCGGCGCGATCACCGTGAAGGAACGGAGCGGGGAAAAAAAGTGAAGGTAGCGGGAAAAGTAAAAGGGTGAAAGGGGAGAACGAGGGTGGACAGCTCGCGAGTACCCGCGGCCTTACGTAACGCGCGCAACACGTGAACGCCGGAGGAATCGCCGCGAGCGATTTTTCTGTTGCTGGAGTTCATTTTGATAGCGGACAACTGGATATTTTACGACGCCGTCGGTTCGGATATAGGTTACTCGTATGCGCGAGCCGCTTGGAAGCCAATGCGGTTTAAATGAGAGAAGAAAAGTTGAGGAAATCTTTTGGCTTGTGAAATGATTGTAGTCATTCTGAGCGACTCGTACATTTGTAACTTTCGGTATTTATAGAGAATTTCCGAAGTTCGGACATTCCAATCTTTGGGACTTCGAGGCTTCGAAGCGTCGAAGTTCTATTCGAACGCGATGCAACTCGATATCCATCTTAAACGTCATCCGCACGCGAAGCCGGCACATCGCGTTTACGAGCTCTCGGACCCAAAGGCAACAAGTTCGACAAGCAAAGGAACTTCGCGAGATCCGGAGCACGCGAAAATATTATCGTACCGTGATGAAGTTGAAGAAGAGGACCGTCAATGCAATTAACGGTGCAGCAGGAAACATTATTTTCCCCGGGCGTGTATCTCGTCTAAAATAGTCCCGTGTTTCGATGGAGCAGGAAATCTCGCGGCATCGGGAACAACAAAACAACAAAATAAAGTCGAAGGAAGAGGCGAGCGAGGCGGGAGAGGGGAAAGAGAGAGAGAGACAGAGCGATTCTCCCGGCGCATTCCGATCACTCCTGCCTGGTGCGTTGCACCTACACGCTCGAGTGCAACGTCTTTGGTTAATGGGGTGGCTTTCCTGAACCTGTTGCTACAGTGAACTTAGATTCCTTGCACGCAACGAGTTTTCACTGTCAACCTGCCCCCGACCGTTCGAAGATTTACCTATCCCGCGACTGGATACCGCGCGCGTTGCCCGGTGATTACGATCGCATCCCGGCCGATTTATCGCGGTCACTTCTCATCCCTGATTGAAAATAAATTCCCTTTCGGCCCCACGATTTATAATCCGCTCGAACTATCCGCATGCAAATTCGCTTATTCCGGCCGCGAATTTTACAGCGCTTTATCCCTTCTTTCTTTGCGCGTCGCATTCCTGACGCGTCGACTCCGCTTCGTCCC